ATGCATTTTATTTCTTTCTTCATTTCTCTTGAATCTAGTCTACTGGATAAGATAACCCTATCAATTATATTATTTGTTGTTATTTTTTAAACAGTGAAATTCGAAAGTACCAGAAAAGCACTGAACTCTTGATCCGCAAGCTGCCCTTCCAGCGCCTTGTTCGTGAAATTGCACAAGACTTCAAGGTATTAATTCTTCAAAATAAATTTTATTTTTGTTTTACTTTGTTCAAGCATTGCAGTCCCTGAGTATATTTTGTTTGTGCAATTTCCTTTTAGACGGATTTGAGGTTCCAGAGCCATGCAGTTCTTGCACTTCAAGAGGCTGCAGAGGCCTACCTTGTTGGTTTATTTGAGGATACAAATCTCTGTGCTATCCATGCTAGGAGGGTGACTATCATGCCCAAAGACATCCAGCTTGCCAGGAGAATCCGTGGTGAAAGGGCCTAGATGATGATGTTTTTTCATTTAGGTTCTTGTGTTGTTTGTTGGTTTAGGTGATTTCTGATGTACCATGGTACTCTAATCTGAACATTGATTTTCTTCCGGAGAAACTAAGACACCTTAACATCTCACGTGTTTGTTGGGACAACAACTGTGACCTCTCCGTTGTATTCTTTTATCATTTTATCAAATGTTGTTGTTCAGCGATTTTAATCATAGATATCTAATCTAGCTGTGTTAAGCTGTGGTTTGTCCTCTAATCTCCTCTATTCTGTTTATTCTGGTCTGCTTCAGTGGTGGTTTTGCTCTGGCTGTTGTGTCTTTAGTTTTGCTTGTTTAACCGTTGTATAAATCTTTTGGCTTTCATGCTACCAGTGTAAAGAGAGTAGAAACCAAGAATTTTTCTTTTTCATTTTGTAGGTTGTATTACTTGGTCAGTTTAGTCATTTCACCTTTAGTGCCATTCTATCAATTTCTCGTGATTCTTGGATCCGGACTATGTTGCTAATTATATGTGAGTGATTTTAATGTTGTAATAACTTGCTTTAGTTAGTGCTGATTATATAT